AAACAAATTTTCCATTTGATGAAACTTTGTACAACACATGAGATTTTGATTTTTGTTTCAAACAATAAAAAAAAACCTTCATTTTTGATTGTCCATCCATCCATTGTTTTACCTGCTTCTTCCTTTCGTGGTCACTGCAGTCACTGTACCAGGGGCAAGGTTCTCCGTGGACAGGTTGCACGTCCATTGGGCCACATAGAGACAAACAAGACAAACAACCATTCACTGTTTCACTGGGCAATTTAGAGTTAGCAGTTAGCCTAACATTCAAGATTTTGGTTTGTGGGAGGAAACTAGAGTACTTGGGAAAACTCCATGCACAGGGAGAACATGCAAACTCTACCCAGAAAGGTCCCTGGCCGGAATTTGATCCAGCAACTTTCTTGTTGAGAGGTAACACCTCTAATGACTGAGCCACTGCACCGCCCAGCAATTATTGTTTTAAAAATGAAAATTTGCCATATTTCACTTTAGGATTGTGCTCTTGTCTTTTCTTGACTCCAAGTTGGGGTGTGGGGGACCAGATTTCATAAAGCCCTACAAAATCATGAACATTATTATTATTATTATTTTATCCAGTAGCCTACATTTGACTAAATACTTCGGTTAGATATTTTAAGGGAAAGTTCGACACCAAGGTGTCCAGAAAATTCTATACATTCATTTCTGTTTCTTAAGAGCAATAAATGCAATGTTTCCAACATGAATTGTTGGAAACAAATTTTGTCATCTATAACAGCCCTTTGATTTCCCAGAATGCTTCACAAATTGACATTAAGAACCTTCTTTCACCATGAAATGGGAGTCAATGGAAGTCGAATAGTGAATTTGCCATTACAGAATATGACGTCATCTGATATCACCTGTATGTTATTTTATATTTCTTGTTCTCACACAGTCTGCTCTCTCTATGCCATCACATATTGTTGACAGGAAGTAACAGCAACAGAGCCGGAGTTAATTCACTGAAAAAGTGGCGAGCTCCTCCCTATTGTCACTTTCAAAAGCTTCTCTGCTGCTTTTACAAAAAAATCTAATAATTCTGTTTTCTATAAATCTTCGAATCTAATCTAGAAGTGAAATTAGTCACTGAGTACACAGACTTGTTTGAAGTTATTAAGAAATCATGTTTCATTGTTATTCCTCTTTATACCACCTTGGTGACCAAAGTGAAAGGGTGCCATCTTCAGACTGAGGCAGCTGCGAGATCTTGGTTTTTAATCAACAAAGTGAGGTCCTTTTTGGAAAGTGAGGACCTTTTCCCGGTCCTCACTTTGTTTGCAGCTCTACTGTACTTTACTAGTTAGGTTTAGACGTATGGTGTGAATTAAGTTTTGGTTCAGGTCAGGGTTAACTGTAGACCAGTAATGATTAATTTTAGGGAAAATGTTTGGGTTAGGCATAAATACAGTTACAAAAATGAATGGAAGTCAATACAAAGTCCTCAGTTTGATGCCAATACAAGGATATGTGTGTGTGTGTGTGTGTGTGTTTCATACTTCCAGCCGTACCTCCAGCTGAGCTACATCTTACATGAGACACGTGTGCTGCAGTGTGGTTCCAATTAACACAGAGACCGAACGTGTGTGCTCAGGTGTGAGCCCCTGTTTAGTGTTTGTGACACGGGGGGAGTGTGTGTAATGTGCAGGGGAGGAGAAGGGGGGCAGGTGGGGGKGGGGGTCAACTGCAAGGTGTGAAGTTTATGATCTAGCTTGTACTTTCTACTGAACGGCAAGACATTCACACGTCACCCCCGCTCAAAAGATCCTTCACTATGTTGTAGATTTAAAGTTATTCTTGATTTTTTTTTAGTAGCTGGATGGGAGCTAGAAATGCAGATTTTCTGTGTGATTTCAGAAGTTTTTTTAGGCTTTAATGCAAGCCTGAAGTGCAGTGAGTGACAGCTTAGAAGAAAAGGAGGAGGAGAAGAGGGGAAAAAAAGGGGGTGGACGGAGAGGAGGAGGGAAACAAGACGAGCGAAATGTTCCCTATTACTGAAGTCGAGGAAGACAGCAGCTGTGCGTGGCTTGACCTCAGAAACAGACTAGTTTACATCCAAGGTCTCCTTTTTCTTGCCTCCTCAGGCTCGAGCAGAAAGAGGGGGGAGAAGGAAGGTCAGAGAAGGAGGAACAAAACAGAACAATTTCTTCTTTTTGAATAAGAAAAACCTGGGGTATAAAGGGAGAGGCAGGTAGACGGAGAAGCGAGGCATTCGAGGAGTTTGTGGCGCCTGCGTCCGAGGGGGAGCTGGTGGGTCGGAGCGCTCGCTTGTTCTTTTGTGGAAGTAAAAGGCTGCAAACTGACCTGATTACACTCTGAGGTAAGACCGGATCTCCTAGTCTCTGAGGAAATGTTTCACGCTCTACAAAATAATTGAAAACAACCAGAGTATTTTTTTCACACATCTGAATTTTAAACCATTTCTAAATGTGGGAAGAGAGTTTGTCTTTTACAAACAAAATTATACTCTATCGAAAAGTTTAGTTTACGTCAATAGTGTTTATATATATTTTTACGTTGATTACACCAAAAACCAGAAATGTACATTAAAATGAAATAACCGTCAAATATATATATATA